TTATTAACTGCTGTTGCAAATCCTAAATCACCAATATAAGCATTATATAAGTCATTTTGAAATACATTGCCACTATGAAAATCACAATGAATAATATCATTTGAATGAATTAATTGAAGATCGAATGCAATATACGATATCAATTCTAATTTTTTCTCCCATTTCATTTGTGCAACTTTGTTAAGATTCTTACGTAAAGATCCCATTGGCGCATATTGCATAACCAAAATATAATCACCCGTTTCTTCATCTTTTGATATTCCATGACATTGCAAAAACGTGGCGTTTTTACTTCCAATATTCGAATATGCAATTAACTATAAATTATAAATATTAATAATAATATAATAATGACATTAAATAAATTAAAGTAATTACCGGTAAGTATTTACCTCTTTTATAAGTTCCTTGTAACTATTTTTTGATCCATGAAGTAATTTAAGAGCAACAGATATATTTTGCTCACCAATTTTATTGATACGTATCCAGTTAGCAAAATACACAGTTGAAAAACCACCTTTGCCAATTTTGCTTCCAAATTTTAATTCGCTGAATGGAATCCATGAAATTAATAATTTATTTTCAAATAATAATTGTCTTATAGAATCATCGAAATTTTCATAGTTATCTATTTTTTGTAAATTATAGTTTTTTGCTTTTCGCAACCATTCGTTAGCTTTTTCTTGATTAGGCGATGTTCCATAGCCATTTCGATAACATAACCCTAGTTTATATTGTCCATTCGAATCGCCACCTTCAGCAGATTTCAAATACCACTCGAATGCCTTTTTTTCATCCTTATCTGTGCCTATGCCATTTTCGTAGCATACTCCAAGATTATATTGCGGAATGGAATCGCCACCTTCAGTAGATTTCAAATACCACTCAAACGCCTTTTTTTCATCCTTATCTGTGCCTATGCCGTTTCCGTAGCAGTTTCCAAGATTACATTGCCCACCGAAATTGCCACCTTCAGCAGATTTCAAATACCACTCAAATGCCTTTTTTTCATCCTTATCTGTGCCTATGCCATGTTGATAACAGAATCCAAGTTTATTTTGTCCATTCGGGTTGCCACCTTCAGCAGATTTCAAATACCACTCAAATGCCTTTTTTTCATCCTTATTAGTGCCCGTTCCATATTCATAGCATTGTCCAAGATTATATTGCGCAGTGGAATCGCCACCTTCAGCAGATTTCAAATACCACTCAAATGCCTTTTTTTCATCCTTATCTGTGCCTATACCTTTTTCATAGCAGAATCCAAGATTACATTGCCCATCGGAATTGCTACCTTCAGCAGATTTCAAATACCACTCAAATGCCTTTTTTTCATCCTTATCTGTGCCTATGCCATTCTCGTAGCATACTCCAAGATTATATTGCCCACCGAAATTGCCACCTTCAGCAGATTTCAAATACCACTCAAATGCCTTTTTTTCATCCTTACCTGTGCCTATGCCATTCTCGTAGCATACTCCAAGATTATTCTGTCCTTGAGAGCTGCCACATTCAGCAGATTTCAAATACCACTCAAATGCCTTTTTTTCATCCTTACCTGTGCCTATGCCATTTTCATAGCACCATCCAAGATTGCATTGCCCACCGGAATTGCCACCTTCAGCAGATTTTAAATACCACTCAAATGCCTTTTTTTCATCCTTATCTGTGCCTATGCCATTTCTGTAGCAATTTCCAAGATTATTCTGTCCTTGAGAGCTGCCACCTTCAGCAGATTTCAAATACCACTCAAATGCCTTTTTCTGTGCCTATACCATTGTAGTAGCAGAATCCAAGGCTACATTGCCCATCGGAATTGCCACCTTCAGCAGATTTCAAATATAATTCAAATTGAATTACTTCATCCATAATGATATCTGAGATTAAAAGTAATACGACGTATCCTTTGAAACTCAACTAAGTCTATTCGTAAAATTTGAGAATATATGATGAACTATTAATGTTAATGCCGGAAAAAAAGGTATTTATAGCATTACAGTCGCACTAGAAATTTGATTGTGCAACATTTGGTATCAGATGCGGTATACGCATCATAGGCAGACATTCGTATGATTGCAGTTTAATCAAATTAATTTTACATTATTTATACAGTTTAAAGCACTTTTCAAAAAAACGAAAACTACTATGAATAAACAAAAATGAAGTATATAGAAGGGTTGTATTAAAAATAATCAAAATTCTTTTTTATTTTAGAGAAATTAGCACGGTGATAACCTAATTTTAAGAAGTCGTTATTTGCTAACTTCTCTAAAACAAAAAAGAATTTTGATTATTTTTAATACAACCCTAATAAAACTTTCTATATACTTCTTTTTTGTTTATTTGTAGTAGTTTTCTTTTTTAAAAAAGTACTTTAAACTTTATAAATAATGTAAAATTAATTCGGTTATTCGCTATAGAGGATCAGTTCCCTATAGCATTTAAGTATTGCCGTATCCAGATTAATAGAGTACCCTATAGTTACTTTGGAGTACTATAAAATACTATAAAGTTCCTAATATTTAAAGTACGGATAAAAATTTACAGTACCAAACAGGTACTGCACAGTAATTCAATAGCTACCTTAAAATACTTTAAAGTATCTAACATCAATATATTAATATTAATCGATAGTTAGCGATTACACGATTTGCAGTCACATTTAATGTAACGAAGCTGTCAACATAAAATTACATATGCAAATTTAGGCTACAATATCCCTGAAGCCTTTTATAACGCAAAATTATACCAACCTTTATTATTCGAATATTTTTTAACGAACATGTTAATATCTTTGAATATAATAAAACTGACCTTATGGAGATTGGAATATTTTTTCTTAGTAGCGATATTAATAGGGTAGAAGCTTCTTTAATGGGAATTTTAGCTGTGGCTTTTTTAAACTTGGCTTTTCTTTTTTTTTAATGTTTTTACATATTTATTTTGGAATTATTTGTTGTTTTATCATAATATACAACATAACTAATACCAATTGTATCAAGAACACTTATGGTTCCGGAGGTTTTGAATGTAAATACAAACGGGAAAATGGAGTGTTAATGGTTGCTTTTAAATGACTTAAATTTGAAAGTATTTTATGTTTAAATGAAAAAATTATTAAATAAAATTTTTACTTGAACTACTTACAGATATAACGATAATATTAAATTATTTAATATCATAAATTAAAAGCCCAAATTATTTATTTGATTCAAATTTTATTTAAAGCAATTGAATAAATTTTATATTAAGCTAAATAATACTATATATACGAAATATACTGTATATTACATATTAAGCTCTTTTTTCATTTTTGCAATATTTAATTTTTTTAGTTCTAATTCAGCTTCACGTTCTTCTAAAGCAATTTCTTTTTCTCGAATTGCTAATTTTCTTTCTACTTCATCTAAATCTGTATTAGCTTGTTCGACTTTTTTACCTTCAATATTAGATTTTGTTCGTTGTCTTTTTTCTGAAACTGATTTAGTAGAATTTTTTTTGTGCTTATTTGCTAAAATAAATTATATTATTAATTAAATATTTAAATTAATTATATATTAATTAATATATATTTTACATACTATTTTTTTGTATAGAACATTTTGCTCTTGCTACTATGCCTTGATCACGACCAGAATAAGAAACTCCTGAAATATCATGTATTTTTTTTGAATGAAAAGTTCTTTTATCTTCTAAAAAACCTCTAATGTAAAATAAAAAATATTTTAATATATTAATAAATTAATTTATAATAAATAAAAAAATTTACTTTTGAATTGCTATGCGAAGACATAAATTTGTTCCATATTGATTTACTCTTGCATGACTACTTTCAGAGACATTAGTATTATATGGAGTAGAATACCATATATTAATAGAAATATTTGAAAAAGTAGGATTTAGAGATGCAATTACCCAATTTGTTGAATAAAATCTAATCCATCCTAAAATTTAAATAATTTAATAAATTAATTTTAATTATTATAAAATTTTTATTAATAATTATTACCTTCAAGTTTTTCATTATCAATTTGTTTAAGTATTTCAAATATTTCTTCAATACGTGCTTTTGTAGTAGCAGTAGAAATTTCTTTCATTAATTGTTTTATACTTTCATCATGTTGACAATTATGAATACTTCTAATAAAATTAATTATTAAATTAGACTAAAAAAATTTAATATATAATAATTAATTAAATTTACCTATAAAAATGTACTTGACAACTTTTAAAAATGTAGGTTAAATGTTCATCCCAGGTATATTTTGGTTCAATATTAGCTAATGCTAATTCTAAACCTTTTGTCTGACCTTGGTCTAAATCGCCAAGAATACATTTCCATCCTTTATTATGAATATAATAAAATGCTGGAGATTCATTTGCTAAAATTTTAATATAATTCCACAAGCTTGTAAAAATTCGATAATATATTTTAGCTGATGATCCATTTGTAAAAACTCGTGCATATGTAATACCTAATTAATTAATTAATTTAATATTAATATATATTTTATTATTTAAATATATATATAATTATAAATTTCTTACTTTGATTATAATTTTCACAATAACTATTTACTTCAAATTCATTAACTTCACCATGTACTCTTTTAAATGCCATATCAACTTGAAAATATTCTGAATTTTTCCATGCAATAGCTTGTTCTGCACTTATACAGATTATTATCAAACTTCCATCATTAAAGGTTCCTATAAAATTTAATAAATATAAATTAAAATAAAATATAGTAAATAAAATAAATAATATACTATTAATATAATAAACAAACCAATTTCTTGTAAATATCCATTAAATTCTTTATTTCCATTCCAGAATTCTGTAGCAATTCCCAATAAACCTTGTCTATAAGGAAACTGTTTTTGTTGTGCTTTGTTTACAAGGTATCTTAATTTGTCTAAATTATTAAGAGAAGCATGTATTTCGGTATAAAGATCTTTACCAAAATGTGCTTTTAATAAATTACTAGATAAAATTTTTTTAGGTGTAACTCATTCAAATGCTTAAGTAGCTTAATTAATTATATGTTCCAAATTAATTTGAATCTCAGTTGGGATATTAACTGGAGGTAGCACCAGATGAGTATGAATTCCTTTGCATATTAAAACAACAAATGGTGTTGCTTTTAAATCCAATGGAACAAGTTTAATAAATTTAACATTACAGTTTAATTTAATTATTTTTTCCTTTCGCTTAAAACCTTCATCTGATAAATAGAAAAATGCTAATATAATAAATTATATAAATTAGTAATTAATTAATATAATTATTTTAATATAATTAATTATTAATTACATACAGCATTCTTTTTTTTGAGAACTTGTAGATAATATTGTGCGACAATTTTTTATTGGTTTATTTAAATTAAGCTATAAATAAATTAATAAATTAATAAGTTAATAAACTAATAAATTAAAATTAAATAAATTATTATTACTTACAGATTTGCCTTTAAATAACTTTTCTAATATAACTATATCAATTTTATTTTCATCTATTTGATGATGTATATGTTTTTCTCCTGCTACCCAAGCAGAACATCCAATAAAATATGATAGAATATCATTATCAGATTTCTTTCCATAACGACAAATTTGTGCTTTACCCGTACAAGTTGAAAAGTTATAAGAATATTGAAAGTTTACATATGCTAAATATTTTCTTTATATTAAAAAATAAAATTTAGCTTAATTTAAATTTTTTTTTAAAGTTAAATAATAAAAATACTTACATATGTGTTTTAGCTTCTTTAGAAGTTTGTGAATCAACAGGTTGATTAATTTTATAAAAATCAATATCTGCATTAACTTCACTATGCTGTGTTTCTTTTAATTCACTTGATACAAATTCACACACTTTAGCTCCAGTACAAATTCTAACAGATTTATTTACTTTGCATCCTAAATATTCACATTCTATAATTTTATTACCACCACCTTCACCCATATTATATTGTATCTAATTGAAATTAAAATTAGTAAATTATTTGTAAAAATAAGCTTTAATAATTAATAATTTTAAAATTTACATCTAAAAAAGCAGCATTATAATCATTCCATTTAGAAATATTATAAATGATTGCAATGCCTTCGGAAGAGGTTGGAGAATATTCAATCGGTATTGGAGTATATCTAACTTCATTTATACACAAATTTTTTGTAAAAAAATTATGTATATTAATAATATTGGATTCATCATCTGTAGTTTGCATCTAAATAATAAATTTAAAATTTATTAATATAAAATAAAAATAAATTAAATTAATTTCATTGAACTTACTATATCATCTATGTCTATTTCAGGAATTTCAAGGTCGGATGCTTCACTAGAAGCAGCAGTTAAGTCAATAAAATCATCGCACAATGATGTACTTAAAAAACTTGAAAATTTAGATTTTGGCTTGTCACTTAATGTTGTCGTTGGTAAGTTTAAAGATTCAGGTGCTGAAATGTTTGAGGATTCGGATAATGAAGAATCAAGTTTCTTTAATGACATTATTGTAAATAACAATTAAAAAGTCAAATAACAAAAAAAAAAAAGATACATATTTATTTAATCAATGTTTAATCAATTGATCAATATTTAATCAATTAGTAATTAAAATAGATAAAAAAATTGAGATTCGTAAAATTCAAATATTATAGCCATGGCTTCATAATTATTATAAATAAGTAAAAAAAGAGTCATTTAGTTATCGTTATTAGGATGCTTTTTTCGAAATATACAAACTTGAACTTTATATGTATCGATGCATTAATATGCAATAAATTTTTGGTTGATCTGGAAATTAATGATCGAAATCTTTTGTACAAAATTGGATAATTCAAGTTTTACAACATGTTTAAATTATTTATATTGTACTATATACTATTTATTTACTACGTATGAAATAAACCAAGAATTGTATTTTATGCATTATAATTTTCAAGGCTTTAACTTTTGAGCACATTACAGTACTAAATATAAATATTACTAGAACTTTACAGTGCTATAATAATGTGTGTTTGGTACTTTATAGTACTATCAGATATTTGTAGCCGTACTATACTCTAAACCAGTATGGAACGGATACTAAATATATATATTCAAATTAATTTGATTTAAACTGTATGTACGTACATACATACCTGTACGTACATGTTTTCAGTTTTGTGTGTTGGCATATTTACGTATGTACTATACTTCATTTTAAGTATACTTCTCATTTTTAATATATGACAATAGAATGAAGTAGAATAATATTTTTACTTTTTTATTAATTAGTTTCCACTCAGTTGAATGTTTATTTGCTACCAATAAATGCATTATTTAAATTTATTCGAAAAAGTTATTTTGTTTCAAACATGTAAAATTTAAAATCAATTATTTTATTTTTTTACAATAGATAGCACCATTTTCATATTATAAATGCTCATTTTAACATCTTATATTCTTGCATTTCTTTATTGCAATAAACATAAACAGCATGAAATTTAATAACAAGGTATAATGACTATTTGTTTTGATAATGCTTTCTACGTTAACCCTAACAAACGCAATGGCATTATAACTCATGCTAAAAGGGATGCTATTCAAAATGTTCAGTAAGACTTGTTACAAGTAATAAAGTATTGCTCTTGGAATGACAAGTTATATAATGATAAATATTAACTGATTTTTGTCTATGATTTGATTGTGGGTTGGGTATTATAAAATACACCTTTAGTACCTTTAGTTTCTATATTGTATATCTTAAATATGTTTTTATCTGTTATTTATATATGCAAAATTTTCAATTGTTGCATTATTAATGCTTTATTATTATGATTATTATTGTTTTGCTCTTTTAGCTTATACATTGATTTCGAACACGGTTTTACTAGTTTTGCACTTATCGCTCAGATTAGTAATATTACTCTTGGCCATTAATAATGAAAAATTTAAAAAGGGAATTGAATTGTAAGCGTTGTGTATATATGCAAGACTAAATATAAAGTAGTAGAAAGTCTTAATGATTTTTATATGTCGCCCGTCGATTCAGAATTGACATGTACCATTTTGAATTTTTACCAATCAATGAATAACAACATCACTCGATTAATGCACAAATTATAACATCAATAAAGCAGCTTTAATTGATTGCAAATCGAGAATGTGTACCGGGTTGTGCTCCGGATGATCATATGGGTTGCCGTCAATTGAAATAAGGCAGATTGACATTTTAAAAAAAATTAATGCCTTAACTTTCACAGCCCATATCTTGATGGATTTTGAAGATATCTTAATTATTTAATAGTCAAAAGAAAGCTTATGATCTAAGCTTTCTTTTGAATACTAAATCATCAAAGTTCATCAAGATATGAGCTGTGAAAGTTAAGGCATTAATTTTTTTTAAAATGTCAATCTGCCTTATTTCTATTGACGGCAGCCCATATGATTGTTCGGAAATCAATCCAAATGAAATGATATCATCGATTAATTAAATAAACTATTGTACCATTTATATTTTGCTTCATACTTTACTTTATATTTTTCTTTATACTTTGCACTATATTTCGCTTCATACTTTTTGCTATATTTCTTTCATACTTTACTTTATATTTCGCTTCATGTTTCGCTCCATTTCGCTTTATATTTCGCTTTATATTTCGCTTCATACTTTGCTTTATATTTCGCTCCATATTTCGTTTCATACTTTGCTTTATATTTCGCTCCATATTTTTTTTCATATAAAATAATAATAATAATAATAATAATAATGCAAAGCAATTAATTTAACTTGTCTGATTTACCTACTCCACTTCAAAAAATACCTCTATCTAATAATTCTTATAAAATAAAATGGTTAAATCTGAAAAAATAAATATTGGACAACTTAATATGGATTTATATGTGGATATTAACAGCTAAGAGGTGCCTTAATTGGATAAGCGATATCAAAGATCACTATGCGACTTAGAAAGAACATAAAAAAGCTGAATCTTTATCATCGGGCAAACCGGCAGCTTATATCTATCAACGAAATTCTACAATAATATTTCTCAAGAAAATGTCGATCAAACTATAATGAAATCACGCAAAAAAGAAAAACTTCCGAAAAAAAAGGATAATTTATAAAAGAACATTAACACATGCAAACAAAATTTATAATAATATAAAGTTTTTAAACGTTCATAAATATAATATATACATATTATTATGTATCGTAATATTTACGCGATATATAATTGATGAAAAGAAATATACAAATTAACTGTGTGCTAAATTAACCTCGAAAATTTTCTGGACATTTATTACGGACCATTACGTGATCGTAATTTTAAACAACTGACATTTTTTTGATTTAAAAATTTTGTATTTTGATTGTTAAATACTGTTTCTTAAAATTGATTATCAAAAACTTTTAGACTAGTGTTACCATCGGTTGGGAGAGCAATTGCGGATGTTAATCCAATTTAGCACCGATGGATAACCAGGTTCAGGATTTATAACACTTATACACGTGGTATGATGTCACGAAACACTTAAGCTGGGTCACTTAACAATCAAACTTTAATTACCTTGAAGGTTTTAATGTATACAATAAGAAATGCGAGACAACAATAATAAAGAAATAAAACAACAATAAAAAGAACAAAATAAACCAATAAACTAATACATAAACTCAAATACAACATAAGGGGGGATCCGAATATAAACTATAACTAAGACATCAAGGGTTCTATCATTGTTTGAGACAAAGCCTGCCTAAGGAAACTTTACTAAGGCGGGAACCCAGGCTTTAAATACCTTTTACCTTACTAAGAGCTACTGCGCTATCTTTAATCCCAGACTTATCTTCTTAGCAATCAATCTTCGGGATGTTAACAACCCACATTAAAATAGCCTCCAAATATTGATCACAACAATTGTGAGCTAAGCGCACAATGATTGTGAGCTAAACACACAATGATTGTGAGTGTAACCAACCACTGGGATTGCTCTGTATCTCTAAGCCTTCATCCGCCACCTAAGAGCCTCACAATATTCTTGTGGCTTTGGGTCATTTGGGCTTTTAGTACCACCAAATAGTAGCCGGGCCACGGGTTTAAAATTTAAACCATGGCACTAGTTTATTTAATTGTTTTGAAAATATTAAAAATTAAATATATTTCTACTAAAACAAATTAGTTTTAGTGAGCTATAACTATATCAAATTTTCATAAAAAATTTTTTGCCAATATGTAGAAGGCATAAAGTATTCAAATACCATTAATTCATTATTTTAAATAAAACCGGAGGATTATAATATACATACTGCACTAATAAGATTATAGTATATATCTTCGGTTTATAATGTATTCAGGTGATCTTTTTTGCGAGTTGTTACTTATTGCTCTACTCAAACTAAAGTAAATTGATCAAATCAAATATGAGATTTGCTGTGAACATTAAGGTTAAGTACTGAACTAACGTAATTCAAATACAAAGAGTGCCTGCACTTGTGTTTAAATAATTCTTTACATCATTTATTCGGGTTTGAAATAATTTTTGATACTAAACTTAAAGTCACTTTGTCAAATTAAACACCTATCTTGAGAAAGCTATATTAAGGAAATATAGAATTTCGATACTTTCTAAAAATATTATAATTTTTCTTTTATATATAGTACAATATTTAAAGTAATCGATAAATTTTTTAATAGCTTTAAATAAAATATGAAACATATAGTCAGATATCCTAATACAACCCACTAAATGCAACACCTTTCTAAATGCAACACCTTTATAAATGCAACACTTCCCTAAATGCAACCTCTACCTCTAGCCCAAATATACATGCCAGACTCCATATGTGCAATGTTTTCTAAATGCAAGCAGTCAAAAGGCTGATCCCTTCGAGTTACATTTAGGGAGGTTTGATTATACATAGCTAATAGCTCAAAATACTCTAAAATTTTTTGGATTCATATAATTAAAATATATTAACATTGTTACATATTTATTCAACATCAATACTAATTTTTTTAGAGGCAATTTCGTATGTTTTCGTGGATTGTCGGTCAATATAACTAATAAACTTACTAGTATAAATCGTACTATAATCCAAACTATTGAAGTTAATATTATTTTCAATTACCATCTCTTCATCTGATTTTAAAAATTCAGCTAAAATCTCTACATTATTTTTCCAATTTAAAATAGTTTGGTGAATTTCTAGGGCTGATGGTCGTTTTTCTGGATTTTCATCCCAACATTTTTTTAAAAGATTCATATAGCATGATGTTGTGTCTTTAATAATAGTTGGTCTCATACCGTTACAGATTTCAAATGTTAATTTTAACCTGTCTTTATATTCAGAAAATACAATATTTCCTGAAGAAATCTCCCACATAATCATTCCAAAAGAATAAATATCTGATGCTTTGGTGAATGGTTTTCCCTGCAAAACTCCTGGCGCCATATACGTTAAAGCTCCATAAATCCCCCTAGACTCTGTGTCTAGTGTTTTATTAACTGCTGTTGCAAATCCTAAA